GAGAATAACACTGAACTTCTGATCTTCTGGCCTCTACCTCCTCCTGAGTGCTAGACTCACAGGCATGTATCACCACATCTAATGCTGGAGACTGAACCAGAGACTGGTGCATGCTAGGCAAACATTCTACCAACTGAGCTACATCCCAGCCTTAAGACTGTTTTAAAATAAAAGCCTTCCAATAAATAAAAACTGTGCCCAGTATATTTAAGTAATCCCTACTAAGGAATGAGACCGTATCCTTGCTTACCGATCTTTGTATCACTAACTTGGTTCATGGGATAAATATCTAGAAGTTGATGAGACTTCTAGGATCAAGGCAAGATATTTTATTATTCATTTTTCATTTTCATTATCCCAATTCTCAGCTGAGCCAGTCAGTGTCTGCCTCTGTCTGTGTGTGTCTGTGTCTGCGATGGCTGCAATAAGAACTAATAACAATGCCAAGCTGGAAAGTATCTACCAGGGAATAGTGATTTACAACTCCATTTTGTTGTGAGCAGCAATACTGTGTAACGTACGTGCTGCATTTGTTGCTCTATGTATAGCTACACGTAAACATTGTCTTTCAAACAGTTTGTGCCAATTTAAATGCTTGTCAGTAGTGTAAATCTGTTTGGGATTCATTCAATCTTTATCTCATTAATTTCTTATTTGCAGACTTTCATTTATATTGATGGGCCCCAAATGATCTGGGATGTTAAATCTATTCAGAAATAATGCTAGAAATGAAGTGTATCTGAGAAGACATGTAAGTATAATACTCAAGACTGTAGGTAAAATGCAGCACAAACACAAAACTGTAGTGCTCTGAGGCAAGATGGTAAAATTAAAGGAGCTAAAAAAGCAGACCATAAACTCGCGTGAGATGTTGGATGCCCAAAAGCACAAAGTAATCCAAGAACAGATAAGAGCATCTCAGAAACTGATTTACACACATGGCCCTATGTCCAACTGTCTAAATAAGATGTCACTCTCAGCATAATCTCAGCTGACTCTCCCTCTCTCAAGTATTAAATGGGAACCAAATCTGAGGAGAGCTGCCTCCCCAGCTGCATGCTTCCTCCTCTTCCCCTCTGTTTCTCTGTCTCTCCACCCCACAGACCTGTCTATGCAGAAAGGAACCAGCATACTGTGCAGATCCTCCTAGCGTCTGGCCTATGCTGCACAGCACACTCTCCTTGGCCTTGGGAGATCTGGTATAGAGAAGTCCCCCTGCACCTCATGGTGCCTGCTTTCCGGTCTGTATGTGATGTGTGTTATGAACATGAGGAATTAATACATTCTCTTTTAACAGATGAGAAAACAGAGGTAAACAACTTATCCCAAAATACACAGCTAGTTGGTGAGAAGGTTAGGATTGAACCTCCAATCTGACTTCTGAGCCCATACACTTAACTCGTGTACCACACTGTCTTTCTAAACCATTTATTCTTTTGTTTTTTTAAACTCTATGCCACATATCCTCCAACACATACACATAGGCAACTGTAAACTTAGTACTTCAGCAATAGCAGTGAAAATTCAGCCAACTAGGAATGTGAACAAGACACACAGGAGACTACAGCCAAAGACCTACTAGGGGCAAGCTGCTTCAAGCATCTCTCCAGCAATCTCTTTACTATAAGTGGGCTATCATTAAAGAGGCCAGATCTTCTGCAAGGCAAGACTGTGTCATTTTGGGTAGATAGACACTAAGGATTTTCTTTCTGAAAAGACCCAAGAAACAGGGGTACTAGCCATATCTCCCTAGGAAGGAGACAAAGAAAAATAGCAATAAAAAAACAAAGCCTTAAGCCTCCAATGAATGACAACAAGAACACAACCAGAGTTCTGTGCTATGTTCTGAAATTAGCAACACTGAGTCTAAAGGAGTCTGAGAATTCAGTGGAATAAACAAAGATGCTTAAAAACCACATCCATATGTTACACATCCAAAATAATCAGGATGCAATCTAGAGGCTTCCACACCAAACTGTCACCACCTCCAAGGAGTGTGAATGGGAAATACAGATGACTTTTTATTTTGTATTAAGGTGATATTTTTTTTTTTATATGAAAAGGGCTGTATTTCTTATGTAAGAAAACACACATACACAGTACTTCTGTGAGACTTTGGGTCAACAGTAGCATTTTAGATATAAAAACATGGCCTGGTAACACATGACACACACACATGTACACACAAAATTTAGGTAACCACAGCTTATTGTCAAAACTAGGCTACTCGAATGAAACTGGACATTTCAATAACTACCCAGGGAAACATCAATTGGGACTGATCCAAGCAAACCTATAGGTAGGGTCACCCTACGAATACTAGATGCAAATATATAACCTTTAAAATAAGGGGGACAGGGAGCTTGAAATTCCTACCAATGTGCAGGGAATCATGGAGTTGGCCTGGTTTAACTACCTTGAAAGGATGCATCATAGATTTTTCAAGTGAAGAGTCAGTCCATGGCGCCTGAGGCATTGTGTGCCTCTCAATCCCTGAGAAACCGAGGCACTCATTCAGGCAATGCCTTCAGGCCACCTGTGTATCTCTGCAATCCCGAGAAGTCAGTGAAGCATAAAAAAATGGCGGTTCTCCACCTTCCTAATGCTATGACCCTTTAATACAGTTCCCTATTTTATGGCCATAAAATTTTCATTGCTACTTCATAAATGTAAATTTGTTACTGTTATTAACTGTAATGTAAATATATATGTTTTCTAGTGGTCCTAGATGACCCCTGTGAAAGGCTTGTTCGACCCCCAAAGGGTCAAACTGCTAATACAGAAGCTTGGCTGAACAATTAGCCTTAGACATTAATCTTGTGTACCCCGTCTAGCTTGCAACCGTCATTGTATGCTGGCACCACCATTATATTTTGTTTTGGTAAGTGCATAAAAAGTCTGATTGCTTGAAAAAACTTGTCTCAGCATCAGTCTTGCTGAAACCCTTCTAACCTGGCCTGACTGGCATTCCGTCTGACTATAATCAGATAGCCCTGGTGGCTAAGTAAGCACTGGTAGGTTACACCAGTGAAGAACTGAAGCACAGCCATCACTGCTTATTTGAACACCAACTTTAACATCTCACTTCAGTGGTCAGTGCAATACTTGGGACTTGCATGACTTTCCTGAACCTTATTCCTGTTAAGTCTCAGTCTATTGTGCTAAGAGAAATCTGACATTCCTCCAAAAGGCATGGCTTCGTACAGGTATACAGGAATGTAATGTTCATAGTAAGGCTACATCTGAGTTTACAAAGCCATTTAACAAGCCCTAAGCTTCTACTGTCTTATGACACTGCCCTATGGGTTGGGAAGGTATTAATATAAACACCCACACTTCACAAACAAAGAAGTTAAGGCTTACAGGTAAATCCCAAAGCCAACAACTACGCACAACTATTCAAAAGAAGATAGGGCCACATGAAGCCATACCACATGACAAGGGGTTCAGTGTATATAAGAAGCCTTTGCCTTGCCTTCTTCAGTGGCATACATGTCTCAGCACTCACCTTAGCGGTAGGTTCCATAAAAACAAAAACAAATACACAACAAAAAAAATCCTATTAAGTCCTTCTGACATTTCTAAGAAACACAACCTCAGAGCAAACTCCCAGTTCCTCTAGCCCTTACACCCTTTCCACTAGTCTTCCACAATGAAATCAATAGACATGCTAACACAGAGATGGGAATGTCACAAAGCTTTGATCCTAATAAATAATTATATGTAGCCTGGTGGTGGTACACGCCTTTAATCCTATCTCTTGGGAGGCAAAGGCAGCAGATTTCCAACTTTGGTCTGCAGAGCAATTTCCAGGAGAGCCAGGGCTACATAGTCTTGAAAAACAAAACAAAACAAAAACAAACAAACAAAAAAAAAGATTTAAACTCAGAAAGATACAGAAGGCCTGCCAGCTTAGCCTTAACCAGAACAAATCTACAGAATTGTGAACAAACCACTAAAAATTCTAAACCACTAAAAATTTTAAAGTTTTGTTATGAAACAAAAGCTAACTGATAAAGGACATTAGTAACAGATGAGGACTATTTCAATGAAGTAGTAGGAGCTAGATTTAAAAGTGAATGGACAAGGGGCTAAAAAGACAGCTCAGCAGTCAAGAGTACTAGCTGCTCTTACAGAAGACGTAGGTTCAACTTCCAGCATCCTCACAGTGGTTTACAGCTCTCTGTAACTCCAGTTCCAAGGGACTGATGCCTTCTTCTGGTCTCATCAAGCAGCAGACATGCATACAGTGTACAGATATATAGGCAAAACACATATGTACAAAATAATTTTTTTTAATGGATGGATGAAGCCAGGCATGGTAGTGCATGCCTTTAATCCCAGCTCTCAGGAGGCAGAGGTAATCGGATCTCTGAGTTCAGGGAGAGCCTGATCTATACGGCAAGTTCCAGGACAAAAACCCTGGACAAAAGAAAAAAGGGAAAGAGAGGAAGAAAGAAAAAAGGAAAGAGAAAGGATAAGGGCTGGGGATGAAGCTCAGTGACAGAATGTTTTCTGGCACAGAGGACCTGGGTTCGATCCCCTTTATAACAGAGGGGTGACAAATATGACTAAATAGAAAGAATGGAACACAAAGTGACACCAACTGCACTTCTGAGGATTCTCTGTGACAGCCTTTGCTAGATGTTCCCATCTCTTTCCATAGCCCTGTAGCCAGGAGCAAAGTCCTTACATCAAAGCACTTTCTATGTATACCTAACCTTGCACACCATGAACACTTGGGAGGGATGGGGGCCATATCAGCTGCTCCTTCACTACCAGTAAGTTTATATTCACACTATCTCCAGCACATGCACAAGCTTATCTCCTCAGAGAATATATAAATATCCCACAACCTGGTAACATGACCAGAGACTTTCACCCTCTAAGCAAATTCTCTAAGAATATAGTCACATTCAAGAGCCATTATAAACAATTTCAAAACAATAGCTTTTAAATTTTTATACTATACGTATTATATTCATACATGAATAACTTACTTGGCAATCCTCAGTTTCCCAACTTCACCTCTTCCAGGGGCTTTTGCCCATTGTTGGGACAAATATTTAGGAACCTAAAATAAAGCAAAACATTTCACAGATGATGAATATGGGTACCCAGGGATCATATACCTTCCCCAAGGTCATACAGTTAGTAAATGATATAGCCAGGGTTTAAAACCAAGCCACCTCTGGGCACTTTGCTCTTAACCATACAAACACTGTGTCTAAAACCAGATAAAGAGTAACTGGGAGTTAAGTTCTAAGAAGAAAAAACGGAATAATATACTAATTCTAATAGGTAATTTGCCTATTAGTTTAGACCCTAAAATCAGCACACACCTTTAAGGTTATCCTGTTATGAAAAACAAAGGAGAGACTATAAATAAAGTACAAAGCATAATGTTGGGAGGCGTAAGTAATGGCCGCCAGCTGTCAGTATCATTTCTCATAGTAATCTTGGAATAATAACATGAACATGAATGAGCAAGACGTGTCAGGGCTGGATAGGGGAAAAAAGACTCTAACAAGATTATGAGGGAGAGAACCTTGACTACAGTTAAAGTTAAAAACAAAGGAGTAAAAAAGACTGAATTTATTCAGTTCTGTGCACATTTGTCACATGAACTTACTGAACTGTTGAAATGTGTCAGATAATATGCATGAGGCTGGGAAAAAGGAAGGTGAGGCGACAACTCTGTCAGACACCTTGTCAGACGTTTTACAAGTCTCATCCATCCATCCTCTCAATCACTCACATGCACCTCCCTAATCTACAGATATGAAAACAATACATCTCAGCAGTGAAGCTACATGAGATTGTGATTAATGTATCTGAAAAAAAAATGCATTTTTTAATGACTTGGCATTAAAGTTTGACAGGGGCTGGAGAGACAGGGCAGCATTAAAAACACTGACTGTTCTTTCACAGGACCAGGGTTCAATTCTCAGCATCCACATGGCAGCTCATGACCATCTATAACTAGAGTACCAGGTGATTCAATGCCCTCTTCTGGCCTCTGGGTCTTACAATATTCCCCTGACTATGCTGGAACTTACAATGTAGACCAGGCTAGCCTCTCAAATGCCCAGATTAAAGGTGTACACCACCACAGTAGTATCTATTTGGTATACAAGAAGCACCGGTGTTCCACAGCTCACACCAGGGAGGGAGGATCACCATGAGTTTAAGGCTACACAGCGAGTGCCAGGCCAGCCAGGACTACAGAGAGGAAGAGAGGGAGAAAGGAAGAGCTGAGGGAGGGAGAGAGAGGAAAGGAGGGAGGGAAGAAAGAAAGAGAATACAGTCTCTTTTCCCCTGCTAGGACCCTTTGCTGTAGTATCTGCACTAAGCAGACTTTGGTCACTGCGACCAAATTCCTAACAGAAACAATTTAAGATTTATTTTGCACCGGGTATCTCAAGGTTCTGTCCATCATGGTGGGCAAAGCAAGGAAGAGCATTCAACTCATGCCATGATGCCAAGATATAGAGAGAGGATACAGACAGGGGCCAAGACAAGACACAGCCCTATGAACATATGGACAGGATCTACTTCTAACTCAGCCTTTCACCACTTCCCAGAGACGCCAAATTATAAATCCTCCAAAGGAGTAATTAACCTATTAGATCATAACCCTTGCAACCTACTTGTCTCCAGAAACAGCAGCATCCATACACCCAGAGGTAAACTTCACTAATCTCTTAGGCTCTTAATCCAATGAAACTGACAAGACTCACTTTAATTTGTTTCTCTGACATAGCCTTTATTATTTTTTATATGCATCATATACTGGAAAACATACCAAACACTAATCAGAGTGCAAAGAAAGTGACTTGGGGGGAGGGGATGACAATCAACATTGGACACAGGTACAAAGAATCACTAGAAACTGTGTTACGTCCGGCGTTGTGGTGCATAGTCTTTAATCCCAGTGCTTGGGAGGCAGAGGCCAGCATGGTCTACAGGAGTTCCGGGACAGCCAGGGCTACACAGAGAAACCCTGTCTCAAAAAACGAAAAGAAAAGAAACTCTATTAAGTGCTTTGAAGAACTTAACATAGTCTGATATGCTGGCAAATGGTGAGAGCTG